TGCGCAGAGGTTAGAATGTTGGCCCATGCATCAAAGGGTCACAGGTTCAATTTTCGGTCAAGGCCGTGGACCTGGGTTGCAGGTTCGATCCCCAGTTGGTCAGGGCACATGTGAGAGGCAACCAATCGATGTGTCTCTCTCACATGAATGTTTCTCTCTCTCCCACCCACCCATCCCTTCCTCCCTTCCACTCCCTCCAAAAAGAAAAATCAATGGAAAGAATATCCTCCTGTGAGGATTAACAAACAACAACAAAAATAATAGAGCAGAAATTTCATAACTCAAAAATTAAGCTAATCAAACGGTTTTTACCCATTTATTCTCTGCAAAACAAAATTGCAACAGATTTTTCAGCTTGCTGGTTATGAGATTATGGTTGCTTGCTTTCTTTGCCCCCCTTCCCATTTATCTGTTTATTTATTTTTGGTATATTTGAGCACCTCATCACAATTTTTTGGGTGTGGATCAAAGGATTTTAACCCACAACTGGGGCATCTATCTAAGGTCAATAGGTATTTTGCATCTGTTTCCTTCCAAACCCTCCCCCTCCGTTTCTTGGGGAATAAATGATTGACAGTAATGTCTACCTGCCATGTTTTCATTGTTGATTTAATGGACATCTATTTTTCTCTCTTGTTGTTGTTTTTGCAATAAAAAGGCTGATGTGCTTTTCCCAAAAACATTTTATTATACTAATTTTCAAATGTACAGCAAAGTTGAAAGAATTTTGCAGCAACACCCATATATTTACCAGATTCTTCTAGGTTCTGTCATAACTATTTTACTACTATACTTGCTTTGTCACATCTAGCCATTCTTCTATTTATTAATTAATCTCATTGTATAAACATATTTCAGATTACATCTGGCACAATTTTGAAGAGATTTTCCACAGAAAAGTTGCAGGCATTAAATGTCTCATTTGTAGCACAGTAATTTGAAATTGATTTTTTCTGAAAAGGTGTACACAGATATTGGTTTGACTTAAACTTGAGAGATCTAGGGAACAAGTATAATTTGTTGTTCCTATCTTTCTTTTTTTAAAATACGTTTTTATTTTTAGAGAGAGAGGGAAGGAGAGGGAGAGAGAGAGAGAGAGAGAGAGAGAGAGAGAGAGAGAGACAGACATCAGTCGGTTGCCTCCCATATGCAACCCCACCAGGGATTAAATCTGAAACTGGGTATGTATCAGTCAGTTGCCTCCCATATGCAACCCACCAGGGATTAAATCTGAAACTGGGTATGTACCCTGACTGGGAATCAAACAAGTGACCTTTTGGTGCATGGGATGACACTCAACCAACTGAGCCACACCAGCCAGGGCCCTATTTTTTTGTAATAGGGAAACTATCATTACATATTTATGGACCCTCAGTTCTGCAGAGGGGATGTTGACCAAGGAATTCCCAGAATAGCAGGTCATGGAAGGCTCTGCTGAGGAAATGTCATTTGCTGATTTGAATGATCAGGAATCAGCTGTAAGATGATTAGGGATAAAACATTCCAGATGGGGAATATCTAGAGTGGAAATAAGCTTGGTGTGTTTGAGAAACTGAAAGAAACCTGGTGTGGAAGGAGATGGATGAAATGAAATTAGAAAGGTAGAACTAATTTCCATAAGAAATTTAGATTTTATTTGAAATATGTAAAGCCATGGAGTGATAAGCAAAGCACTATCATGATGCTGCTTACATTTTTACTCTGACTTTTATATGGCAAATGGATTATGATAGGGCAAAAGTGGAAACAGGAAGCCCTATTTTGAAACTTCTAGTAGTCCGAAGGACAAATGATGATGGCTTAGATTAGGTTGGCAGTAATGGAGATGAGATGGGAAATGGATGGAGGCAGGGTATGTTTTTAACAGAGAGCCAGCAGGACTTGCTGTTTAATTAGCTATGGAGAT